AATCGTTCAACATCAAGCTTCTGCATTGGAGCTGCCATACTTCTTGCCGTAGATTCAGATTATCTCTTCCCTAACCCCGCAACCGGGCTCTGATACCACCTGTAACAGAAGCTCGCCTTCTTTTCTTAATCACCGAAACCTGCAAAACCGAGAACCACCACACATTAACGATGGTAAATAATCAAAAGAAATCAAGTAAATAATTACAGGTTTTAATTACGATGATAATAAAAATCAAAGATTTTCATGTGGATTGGAAGAATCTACAGAGCACGACACTGTCGGCTTCTTGGACCCTTCAAAATTGATCATATTATTATATTATTACTATAATATATATATATATATATAAACATGTCTTTAATTCTAATATATTATAGAATTAGAGTCGTCGTTTTCGGGTGTCCATCTCATTTATGCTAAAATAATATGCATCTGTAATATATTATTGTAGATTAACAATATTCTTTTCGTTAATATGTTTGGCTTACTGCATTATATACATACACACATACATTTTCCGATATTATCTTTGGATTATATATTATACGTATTACTTACGTGGCAGATACACAGTTATGGTCGGTCCACACGAAATGATCAAGTTGGCATATTGAACTGCAAGTATCTTTTTTCTTTTTATTCTCAATACGAAATAAACAAATCGGAATAATTTCGTGATGCACTTTGTCAATATTTAATTAGCCAGCGGGCAAAAATATTTTTAAGAAATTATGCAAAATCTTCGAAAATGAGAACATATATTGAGGATTCAATTATACATGCATACACACACACACACACATATATATATAATGCATACATACACACGCATTACTACTACTAAATTAGATATATGTAGAGGTTCATTTCAATCCCTGAAAATATGAAAACAATAGGTGAATTTCTATTCTAATTCACTATTACTAATATTAGATTTTCGAATATTTGTTTGAGGATATATACATACAGATTGTATAATTTTTTCTTCTTACAAAAAACTAGTTAATAGTTTACATATCATAGAAGATTTAATATGTATTACTCCTACATCAAAATTCGGATTTGAAAAAAAGTTAAACATAGAATATCAATATCGAGAATAATAAAGAAATATTTGATTTTTGTAAAAGGAGATGATATTTTTGTATAAATTGACAGAAGAGAACAATTTCGTGTGGCCGACGAACGCTTCCGTTCTTTAAAAACCAACGGCTCACAATCCTCTTGTCCCCCCACTCCCATTTGTCACGGCAATATAACAAAAATACCCCCACTTTACTACAAAAGACTTCATGACATACCCTTCAAAATTCTAAAATTTAAAAAAAAAATAAAAAAAACAAAAGACATAATTAACCTTTCAAAAAAGTAACGTGATACACTTCTCCCACTTACTTAGTAATTTTGAATTCATCTCTCTCGTTCTCACACTTTGATAACACTCTATTTCTTTCATAACTTTCTCTCTCTACTGTTATCTTTCTCTCAACTCTTCCATTTTCATCCTTCTCATTTCATTTTTACACAGAAAAACAAACGAAAAATAATTATTTCGTTGAACATATCTTCACCGCCGACTTTATATCTTCTTCTTCGTGTGTCGGTCTAAGCCAGAACAAATGACAAAAACTGAAGGTAAGTTCATTAATATAAGAGATTGGTTCGATACATAAACTTTGTGTTTTGAGTTTGAGTTTTATGATTTTTAAAGTGAATCGTGTGCTTTTTGATGAAAATGAGACAGATGCATAACAAATCTGTCGAAGAATATGCAAGAGGCGCATAATGGAACGGATTGATAACGAAAACAAAGGTACGTCACATTGGTTACATCGTTTAAAATTTAATTTTGATCGCACTGGTCATACAGGTCACATTGGTCACACTAGTCACACTGGTCACACTGGTCACACCGGTCACACTGGTCACACCGTTCAAAATTTAGTTTTGGTCACTCTAGTCACATTGGTCACACTGGTCACACTAATCACACTGGTCACACTAGTCAAACCGAAATTTTTTAAAATTCACGCGAAAAAATTTATATTTTTGTGATGGAGAGAATTTTAAAATTTTTAAAATATTTAATTTTTTTTCCACGAAATCGAAAACTGATCTTCTCTCTCTTCTCATTAATGTTTCTGCAAGGGGCCCACGTCAATGGGTATTATGGGAATAACATAATTATAAGGGTATTTTCTGAAGCTGTTTTTTTTCTTTTTGCAGGGGTAGACACCGAAGTCTTTATAGCATAATAGGGGTATTTTTGATAAAACCCCTTTTTGTCACCCAAACGATTCACATCTTTTAATTAATATTTTATATTTACAAAATTATTTTCTCATTTTATATTATAATAATATCAAAATTACTACGCTGATATTATATTCCAAAATTATTTTATCGTTTATATTTACTATATTACATTAACCATTTTAGGCGTTATTTTTTCTAAAATTTTGTTGTGAGAGGAAAATTAAATTGACGGAAATTTATTTTGGGGAGAAACTATAAGGGGTATGTATGTAAATACGCAAACGTGGAACGGAGGTCCAGCTGTCAGCGTGACGTAAGGTGACTTCAGCCGCGCACGCCCAACGCGAAACGCAAACGCCCCTCTCAAAACGTATATGCGTAATGACTATAATACCCTCAAAAATTCGTATAGACGGTTTTACCCCTCACATCGCACAAATTCTCCGGAATCGCCATGGTTGTTCACACGACTTGTACGAAAGGCCAATTGAAAAGGACTTCGTTTTATGAAGAAAAACCCAACTTTTTAACCCTTTTTTTTTTTTGGTCGAGACCCAATTTAATTAACTAATGAGTTGACTAATTAATTTAAAGCAATGTTTGGAGGATATGTTATTACCTTAATCAATCTCATTACATTAAACGATAAGAAAAAGATGCATTATTGGCTTTTAATAGTGGTACGACTTACGAGGAGTAACAAATATGAGAACCGTATTTAATATCTAATCATGTGATATGACTCACTCCAATTCGTTCTTCTTTGGAGTTGGAGAGTCACACAAAAACTTAACTCTTTTAATTTTGAAGAATAATAATTTATTAATGTTTCAATTCTCTCTAATTTATTGGTACAGTTTTTTTTAGAGGTTTTTTCAATATATTTAACTTGCAGTTTTCCAAATTTCAAATTCCAATAATAGTACTTATTTCTCTCTTAATATTGTTTTTTTTCATTTTAATATTTTTCTTTTATTTTGACCGATTAGATATTGACAATAAAATATGATTTTGTTAGCATGAAAAGATTTGTAAAAAACACATTTTTTTCGAAGAAAAATAAAAAACAAAGCTCTTGTGTTTTTGGATTTATTTATTTCTTCAACTTCCTACGTTTTTAAGATCCAATCATAAGTAAATAAAAGGTCATAAAAAAATCGAGTTAAGTTATCGCCAAATAGAACATCAGGAATTATTTTTCATAAAAAAATCGAGTTAAGTTACGCATTAAGCTAAAACTTGTAAATATTATAATATAAAAATAATATATAAACCCAAACTTAGATAGTTCAACCGGTGGAATGGAGATGCAAAATGTCTATATCATCCCGAATTCAAATCTCAAGTTAGGGGAAGAAACATATATTTCAAATCACCCGACTGACTCTCAATTCCGAGATTAGTCCGAATTTTGACACATGATATCCGGTTATTAAGAAAAAGATAAGATATAACGTATATTTGAAATATTCTAAATTGTTATTGAGAACAAAATTTTGTGGGAGAACTAAAAAATTTTATTCTATATATATAATTTAAAATTTTAATTAAAAAATGATATAACATAAATAAAAATTTTAAAAAATGATATAACATAAATAAAAATTTTAAAAATTATATTTATAAAATATATCTAAATATCAAAAATTAAAATATAATAATTTAAGATTTTTTATGATTAATTAAACTATATTTTATATATATATATATAATCATCAATATTTTCATAAAATCATTCTTTCGTAAACTTATTGTTTTAAAAAGAAAACATTCTTACCTCGCATTTTTTATATGCAAGTCATTCGGAGTAAATATTATTCATTTCCAAAAGATTATCATTATTAGACATCAATTATTGATCTATTAATTATATATATATATATATATATTATGCTTTTAAGACTTTATATAAATATTAGAACTTTCTTATAAGAATAACCAACCTTGTTTTGATAGAAGTTAAAGTATAATTTTTTTTACTGAAATTGGATGAAGAATTTCTGTCTGAAAGACAAAACAGAAACGGTAGAAATTAGATACCGTCAGGGAAAAAAATCCAAGTTTATGTTTTCAGTTGGAAAACAAAAGTTTTATATATATATATATATATATACTCTGTCTTATCAAATCATGAAAATTATATATAATACAAATGTAGAAGAATATAATAAAAATAATGGCGTCAAGATAACGGATCCGTTATTCGATTCGTATCCGAACCAAAAATTCGGATATGCGGAGTTTACGGATCGGATACGGATATTTATTTTGAGAATCATTCTTTCGTAAACTTATTGTTTTAAAAAGAAAACATTCTTACCTCGCATTTTTTATATGCAAGTCATTCGGAGTAAATATTATTCATTTCCAAAAGATTATCATTATTAGACATCAATTATTGATCTATTAATTATATATATATATATATATATTATGCTTTTAAGACTTTATATAAATATTAGAACTTTCTTATAAGAATAACCAACCTTGTTTTGATAGAAGTTAAAGTATAATTTTTTTTACTGAAATTGGATGAAGAATTTCTGTCTGAAAGACAAAACAGAAACGGTAGAAATTAGATACCGTCAGGGAAAAAAATCCAAGTTTATGTTTTCAGTTGGAAAACAAAAGTTTTATATATATATATATATATATACTCTGTCTTATCAAATCATGAAAATTATATATAATACAAATGTAGAAGAATATAATAAAAATAATGGCGTCAAGAGAGGAAGGAGATTGAGTATGGTTTACGCAACAACAAAAAAATGGTCGTCTTCTTCATCTTCCACGCACCCTTATAAAGATCCCTCCCTTGTTTCCCTCTCCCTACACCACTCTCTCTCTCTCTCTCTCTCTCTCTCTCTCTCTCTCTCTCTCTCTGTGCAATGTCACTTTGCTCTGTTTCCGTCTGATTCACCGGTTTGAGGATCTGGGTTTTCACCGGAATTCGAATTTCTCTCGGTTTCCTTTCTTCTAGGTTCTTCTTATTCATCTGTAATTGACACATGGAGAAGCTCAATTTCGTGAAGAACGGTGTTCTGAGACTGCCTCCTGGATTCCGATTTCACCCAACGGACGAAGAACTCGTGGTTCAGTACCTGAAGAGGAAGGTCCTCTCCTGCCCCTTGCCTGCTTCGATCATCCCCGAAGTCGATGTTTGCAGAGCCGATCCATGGGATTTACCTGGTGAGCTTGAAAAATTGCCCCCCTCAAAATTGAAAATGCTCGCTCATTCATAGCACGGCGAATGCCTGTTTTTTTCTGGAGATTTGAGTTCTGATTCGAAATGGGTTCTTCGATTTTCGCGATTTCCTCGCAGGAGATTCAGAGCAGGAGAGGTACTTCTTCAGCACGCGAGAGGCGAAATACCCGAACGGGAACAGATCGAATCGGGCAACCGGGTCGGGTTACTGGAAAGCCACCGGAATCGACAAACGTGTCGTGGCGGCGAGGGGAAACACGGTGGTGGGATTGAAGAAAACCCTAGTTTTCTACAGAGGAAAGCCTCCTCACGGATCTCGAACCGATTGGATCATGCACGAGTATCGCCTCTCCTCGTCTCCTCCGGTAAACACAAATCTCCACCCCCTAATCGCGTTTAAGCTAATTAATCAGGCTCTTAACCTCGCGAGTTTATGGATTTGTGCAGAGTTCACCGTCTCCGGAGGAGAACTGGGTTCTCTGCCGCATATTCCTGAAGAAGAGAAGCAGCGGCAAGAGCGAAGACGACGTCGTTCCATGCAGCAACGGCGAGGGTAATAGCCAGATTAGCTTGGATAATGTGATTAGCAGCAGTAATGACGGCGATAATCAAAGTGGTTGTCGGAAGAAATCGAGGCCTGTGCTGATCGATTTCATGAGGAAAGAACGGTCGGCTGATATGAATTTGGCGCCGAATTCGCCGTCGGGTTCGAGCGGAGTCACGACGGAGGTTTCTTCCGACGAATCTGACGGCGTCGACCAGAGCAGTTGTTGCAATAGTTTCCCATATTTCAGAAGAAAACTCTAAAATTAATTAATGTTTTAACAATTATAATAATAATAATAATAATTTATAATATGATCTCTCTCTCTCTCGATTTAAGGAAGGGGAAAAAGTATCTGTGTTTTTGGGTTTGTTTTATATTTTGGGAAATAGTTGAAATTTATCAGAATAATTAACCGCTTGATTCAGGAAAAAAAAAGCCCAACCTAAAAGGTTCCCATAATCTAATTGTATAATATAAAAATTATTCATTTTGCATTATATATACTATATACATATATGTATGTATATCTATGCATGAGAGGTATCACCATGATGATGATGATGATGATGATGATGGATGACAGCAGGTGGGAGACCCTTTTGTCAAAAGTGTACAAAACGTAATTCGAATAATGGGTGATTAATTATGTCAAAAAGGTCAATAATTATTTGGTGGATGCAACACAAAATCTGTAATTTGAAAATTTTACTACAAACTTCAAAAGTTTTTTTCTGCATAAATATATATTTTTTTTTGTTGACATTATGATATTACGATAAGGTCCCCACAACTCAGAAAGCAACGTTATGGATCGAATTTACGTAACCATCTTGTCCATTTTCTTGTAAACTTGTCTCTTGGAGACATCTATTGGTTACAATTATTTTGTATTATTTTAAACCTCTAGATGGTGAAAAATAGGCTTCTATTCCACAATTATAGAGTTAACAATATTGCTATTTATAATTTTGGTGCCATTCAAATCACTCATATATATCATTTTGTTTGTTGTATAAATGATACAAAGGTTATATCATATGCCAAATCGAAATTACTGAACAAAATTGAATTTGAAATACATTTTTTTTTACAAACGGATAAAAAGTGGAAAAAAATTGATAGAAAGATGGAAACTTTTTTATATAAAGGGGGAGAGTGAAAGAACAAGAATAAGAACGTTCACAACAAGTAGAAAGATCACTTACGTCAAGAACTAAATTCCATGCAGATGCATAATATCTTCCAACAGTATCATCTCTCTCTCTCTCTCTCTCTCTCTCTCTCTCTCTCTCTCTCTCTCTCTCTCTCTCGTTTAGATTCTTGAGGTTGAACCAGATTCCATTCCAAGCTTCACCACGACTCAAAATTCCAGGGAATGGAATAATCAGATGGAACCGAAACGAATAATACATAACTGTAATTTAATTGAATATGACAAAACGATTATAATTTTTCTAAATTTGAAAAACTAAATCCGAATCGAATAAAAAAATAACTGAAAAAATCAAACAAAAATCGAATCGTTAGAATTTTTTATAAGGGAACCCAAATATAACCGAATCGAATCTCAATTGAAACTCCGAATGAAATGATCACCCCCTATCTATGAAGACAAAAAAAAAACAAAAATCCATTGTCCGATGAATTGGTCTGTTTCAGCAGCATCTGTTAGTGTTGTCTTAATCAAATCATAACACCACACGAAACTACAAATGTTAGGTAATGGATGTTCATAGGGAGACATAACCCTACCTAAACCTTGAATTTATATGACTTGCTGAATTCAATTACATTATTATAAAAACAACCATAAAAAAGCAAAATAAAAAATAAAAAAATTCAAGTACATCTATATTTATATGCCTAACCTATTATTATTCCTGTTTTTTTTCCGCCTTAAGTATTTGCATAAATATTAGTATAACTTATTTATTAAAATATTAGCCCTTTGAAAAATTTTGTCTAGAGAACACCGTTTTTAATTCATATTAGTTTATTATTGTTGTAAAAACTTGAACTTGTTATAAATTACTCTAATAATTATTATAAATGGGTCGATTTTAGATTTGCAAATTAAACATAATCTATTCTTCAAATTGACTTGATAACATGAACAAAGAACATTTGATGTTTTGCTAGTTTTATCTAGTGATTTCATAGGTATATACACTAATACACGCTTGGAAAAGTACACTCTATTTGTCAAACAACATTTTAATCAAAATTGATATATATATATATATATATATATATATATATATATATATAGCAAAAATGTAGAGTTCATTCAGATGAGTTTTTATAATTCGATTTCACTGGTGGGAAAAGGGGACACAATTAATTGAGTGACTAAAGACTGACTCCAGATCTAGAGATTAAGTGGGTCAAAGGTCTAATGAACTTCTTGGTTATAAAAAAAATCACAACTATATATATGTATATGTGTGTATATATATATTCAAAAATGGGCAGACAACACAATAGTGGTAGACACATAGTCGTGGTTTCTTACACTTGCAAGCAATCTGAATCATCTTAGTGACCGTCGATTGGGTCAAATATAAAAATTAACTATAATGATCGATCATGTAGTTAAGGTTCTCTTGTGTTCCGTATGTCACAAGGAAAAGCAAAATAATATTTAGAAAACATTTTTGATTAATTTGTAATCGTCTTACGACATTAATGAATGGATTAATTGTCCAAATGTTTTGTCTTGTTTTCTCCCCAATTTTGCTTCTTTTGACTCGGATTATATATATATATACTACAATATAATTAAGAGTGGTCATGTACAATTATTTATTGTATTAATAAAAGATTGAATTTGATTTAAATAGACTAACGTAACTTCATCTACACGTATCTTGCATGCAGTGACGGCTTACTTATCATAGATTTGCGTTTGCTTTTCCTATATGTCTATCATTCTATATTATAAGTTCACTACAAAAAAACCTGCATATAGCGACGGAATTTGCGACGGAATTTGCGACGGAAATTTCCGTCGCACAGGAAATTACGACGGAATGTGACGATTTTACGACAGAACGTGGAAAAAAATTATCCGTCGCAAACAGTCGCAAAATCCGTCGCAATTTGCTACGGTTTGCGACGGATAATTCTGTCACAACAAAGAAATAGATGATTTGCGACGGAAAATAAAAATTGCGACGGATTGCGACAGAATATTCCGTCGCAATTTGCGACGGAATTATCCGTCACTTTCCGTCGCAAAACGCAGATTTTTTCCGTCGCAAAAATGCGACGGATTAACGACCGTTATACGTTTGCGACAGCGCTATACCGACGGAAATAAATCCGTCGCATTCCGTCGCAAATTCTTAATTGCGACGGATTTCCTTTATATTTGCGACGGATTTTTCCGTCGGTATATAACTATTTTCTTGTAGTGGTTGAAGTTAGAAACTAATAATAATAATAATAATAATAATAAATGGTGATAATAATATAGTAACCGTTAAGGTGGACAAAATATCCGAAAAAACCTAATCGATCCGTTATTCGATTCGTATCCGAACCAAAAATTCGGATATGCGGAGTTTACGGATCGGATACGGATATTTATTTTGAGATATTTGTCGGATAAAAATATCAAAATCGAATTACCCGACATATCTGATCCGTACTTTGTAATAATATTATTAAATATAAAAATAATTTGATATAAATATTTAAAATACTTAATATTTATACGTTTTTAAAGAAATTCAAGAAATATTTTATAGATATTGAAGTTTACAATGTTTAATCTTTTGAATATTAAGATTTATTATGTTTAATATTTTAAATTTTGAATTTTGAATATATTTGTATATGATAAATTATGATTGAATTTGTATTTGAATTGATTTGGAATGTTCAAATTATGAATTTTAAATTATGAATATCGTTTATATTAAATAGTTTATACATTATATTTGCGTTAGGGTTTATTATTTAATTTAAATTTAAATTTTTATAATGTTATAGATCGGATACGGATATTCGTAAATATCCGTGATTTTTATGGATATCCGAAATTACGGATATCCGAAAATTACATATCAGATATGGATAACAAAATCGAATATTTGTGCGGATCAGATATAGATATCTCAAAATCTCGAATATTTGATCCGTGTCCACCACTAATAATCATAGCATCAGCTAATAATCATAGCATCAGGGTTCATATTTTATTATAAGAAGAACCCTAAGCTCGTGAATTATATATATTATATATATATATATATATATATATATGGGGTCATTGGAATTAATATAGACAAAAGACATGCAACAAGATGCTAAATATCAATGATCAACATTTAATAACAAAAGAATTAATAACATACAAGATAAAATTTTATCCGATCTATCTTTATTTTTCTTTGAATTGAATATGGGATCAATTTACTGTAACGGACAATACACACACAAAAAGAGAGATTAAAAAACTGCGGTAGAAGCTAATTACAGAGCGATATATATATATTAACATGAGAGAAGACATTAGGTACAAGGTTTGGTTCACATCACGTTTCTAGTAATGCGTATTAGTTGCGAATTAAGAGTTTTAACACTGTGTCCCAATGGATTAGATACGAACAAACATTAGAGTTCTTCACGTCACTAGTTTTTCCCTAATTACACAAATCCCGTTTTCTTATCAAATTTAACATATAACAATATCAGCCGTCCTTAACATTTTCTCTTACCATATTTAATTTTTTTTTAAATCGAAGAAAAAAACAACAAAAGGAGATGTGATGGAAAGTGCTGTCCAAAGCTGACTCGTGTGGTTGTTTGGGTTTCTTTTTACGATTTCTGAAGATAAATGTGGACAATGAGACGTGGTATACACCCACTCATTCACAATCATTCAATACGCACACGGATATATATGTATATATATGTGTGTATATATATACATGTTATAAGGTTATGTGTCACCTCCCAAAGACCAATTTCAATAAATATACATATTTGATTACAGATTTCTAAACTTTCGATTGATCAACAGAGCATAAAAATCTGAAACCCTTTCTTTTCTATCAAAACAATATATCACCATCACAATCATCATCGTCACCATCATCATTCATCAAAAAGCTATGAATCTCTGATATGATATAAACAAAGACATGCTGCCTAAACTACAAGCAAAACGAGAGATGACTTCATTACCTTATATATGCAAACTAAAACAATATGGAGAAATGAACAAGACTTTGAGGGAAAAGTAAACAAAAACATCGACATGCCAATGTCTATTCCGTAAATTTCAACAGACAGAAAATACAAAGGCCGGACAAAACCGGCAAAAGGTCACAACTTGCAAGCAAAACTCGAAATGGGTATTGATTTTTCTCAAAAGTTGCGTGTAAAGAAGCAAAACCCCCCGGAGAGGGGGTGGCTTGAGGATCAGCTTCAACTTTCTCAGACATAAATGACAAATCATAAAAAAAGAGAGAGAGAGACTCATAAGGGCAGTAACACTCACATGTTTTTGACTGATTTCTTGATGATGGTGGTCCTCCTCCTCTCTGTAACTGCAAAAGATTCAACCAATATACAAAATATGGACCCCAACCCAGGATTCAGTTTTATCTTTCCTTAAGTGGACCTTTCAGGCTTTTAGAGACTATTCCCAAGAAAAGTCTACAAAACCCACAAAAAAAAATTCAACTAATAAGCATCCAGATGATGTAACAATGGTCCCCAAACCCTAATAGAGCACTTCAAGGTCCGAAGAGGCAACTCTATACCAATCTTCTTTGTTTCCAAGGCCAAGCAACTGTGAGAAACTGTAATGACAATAAGACTTGACATTAACTACCAGACAAGGTCACATGAAAGACACAGTTCACGCCTGTAAGTGTCTCTTTTTCCACTTTGGCACGCAACTCCACCTTATCAGCTATCAAAAACTTATTCACTTGCAAGGGATCTCCCCAACTAGTGTTGCCAAAATCAAGAGTATTGTAATTTAGTTGAGCTAGGAAACAACGGGAAGTCAATTATAATCCCCGATGATGATGATACAAGGATGAAGTAACAAACATGTCAGAAGCTCTTCCAGAGTATTCATGGATTTACTCCTGTCTATTGGCCTAATTGCTAGAACTTGCTGTACTGCCAGCAGCAGCAGCAGCAGCAGCAGAGTCCGACGATTTTGAAGGAGACTCCGAGCATGCCCTTAGAACAGCCTCATTCTGCAATCGAGTAACAAAATGTTAAAAAAAATAAAACTTTAAAACATCACCACCCCATTGCATAGCAGGATTACTACTATGTTATGTTCAAATACACTGAAAATTGCCACAAGTTAATAGATAGATCACATGCTTCGACTGGATGTACCAACACCAAATACGGAAAAAGGAAGCAAAAAAGAAGTGAACTTTTGCTGGTTGATAGATTCACAAGCTTCAATTACGATAAGTTTGAACTTTTGCAGCAGCAAAGTTGCTATTTCCTATTTCAAGAACCGTGGAAAGAGAAATAAGCGGGAATTTTGACTATTGAGAAGCGTTTATAGCACAAAGACTATCTACTAACAACAACTTAAGCTACAAGATCAAACCATAATGAAAGATGAATGAAGAGGTAACTATAATCTACATAGTAAGCCCAAGCATAACAGTGGAAAGAGATAAATAATCACTTTTTCGTCCTAATCCTCCGTTAAAACTCCCATTGAAGTGAGATTTTTGAACTTTCAAGTACTTTACACATGATACATAGCGTTCAAAGCACCAAACATAATAACATTAGCTAACTGAACTTATCAGCGTAATATATACATATAGCTCGAGTAGCCTGGTAAGAAAGGTTGATTCCAGTCAGCATTGGCTCTCTCAAAACGGTGAACTTATGGTCTGGATACTATCATGAAAATCAAAATCCCAGAATGATTCCGTGAAGATGACAGCCATGCGACGAATCGAAAATTGGACATTGGGCTTTGCAAATGAGGATTCTTACACAGAGAACAGTCCCAATAACTGGAAACCCATCTCAGTAAAGAGATGCAATTTTAGAGAAAAAGAAGCAAATCCATCCGACTCGTGTAAATACCGTCGAAGAAACGACATAGAAACCTAAAACCCTAAAACACAACGCATTCGCCCCATAATCGGAAATCCATCTGGGGGGGGGGGAATGAGACGCAATTTCAGACAAGCAGAAGCAATTCAATCCCATTCGTCAATGCCGTCGATGAAACGACTTAGAAACCCTAAACCCTAAAACAGGCGATAGAGAAAGGGAGGAGGAAGCACCTGCCAAACGCGGCGAAGGCGGGTTTTGGCGTTGGCTTTACGGGTGGAAGTCAGCTTGATTCTCTTCCAAACAAGACCTCCAGAGTCGTGCTTCTTCACTATCTCCATCACCCTGCTTCCCCAGAACGCCCCCATCCCTCCTGCCATGGCTGCTGACCACCAATCTGTGAAACAAGGTCTAGAAATTTATATCGATATTGGGCCTTCTTCAGGCCCAATTTATAGTTAGTGGGCCGGATTTGAAACCCACCACTTTCAAGTTGTTTAGGGTGGTGGATTTCGTGTTATAAATAAATGGTGGTTACTGTTCAGCCATACTGTTTACTGTTCATAAATAGGTGTAGATAAACAATAATTTCGAATTTTTTATAAATAAGTCATTTCACTTCTTCATTTGTACACAATTCCAAAAAAGAAAAATTAGTGAAATCTTGTTCCCAAATCTCTCAAACGATCGATTTCGGTTTTTAGTTAACGATTTGATTCCCGAGTCTTCTATATTTCTTCGTTTTTCACAATAATCATATCTTTGTTATCAATTTTTTTTTTAATGTTTTTTAAATGGCATGAGAAAGTGGGATAGTAAATATTATTTATAGCACACAGCTGGATTCATGATCAAGTTTAGACATAGATCCTACATGCACAAGTTATATCGTGAATTCTTTTTTATTTTATTTTATTATATATATATATATATATATATATATATATTATATT